TCTTAGTAAGTGTCTGTAAAAACTTATCAGGTTTTGATGATTTGTGGAAAGTTTTATTAATATTTACTTGAAGATTTTATGATTTGGAAAATGTAACTCTCAAGAACAGTCCTTGCTCTTTCCATTTGCGTTGAAGTTAGTAAATCAAATATACTGTGAAAATATGTTTTGCCTTTAAAAATCCTTTGCATATGTAACCAATTATTTGATATTTAAAAATTGCATATATTTTATTTCAGACAAATTCCAAAGCTTCAGAAACAATCTTAACATTTAAGGTACTTTATAAAGAAAGTTACTGTGAGAAGCTAATAGAAGTGAGGGTGTTAAAAAACACACCAAAATTTGAATATTGACATGTAGATAATATATTAATACAATAAAGAATTTTACTAAATCTTTTATTTAAGGATAATAAGTTTCTTAAGAGTCAAGGTGAAACTACTAATTGTTTACATGAGCAAGGCACAAACCATAATTATATTCAATTAATTAAGAAACTTCACATGAAACTTCCTAAACCCACTAAACAATGTTAAAAAAATGCCTTCAAGTTTTGATTGTTTACAATATTTTGTTTAAAATTGTTTACATTAATTTTAAGTGCTTTTCATTTTTGCTCCCAACATCTAGCATTTCATGGAAAATACAACTTTATATAAAATGTAACCATGATGTAACACGTGGCAATGGCGTTCTATTATATGTAGTTTCCCTTGTATAGTTTCAGTTGTTTCTGAATTATAAATATATCCAATTGAACTTAAATCTTAAAATAGGCAGAAAAGTGATATCAACTACAGTACCAACAATAAAGTATAATTTTGAAAACTTGATAGCTGGCTTGTATTTATAAATCTATTGTTAATGCCAGAACATTTTTTGTTTAAAAGAATTTTTAATTGCTCACTTATGACAAGGACTAGAATGGTGTAATGGATGAAATGGAAGAGTGAGGAGAATGGACATTTTTCCCCACTTGAATTATTATTATCAATATTAGTTGGGAAGATACAGATTCAAAATGAATTAATTTCATGATAGATTTTGAGAGGTTACAAGAAGTTTCTTTCCGGCACAATCAAAATATTATCGTAGCAATTCAGGTTGTCAGTAAAAGCTTAAACAAATTTGCTGATAATCCTGTTAATGACCTAGGTCAAGTGTTAACTGTTGTGGGTTATAAAATAGTGAAATTAAGGTTTCTCCTACCTCCAGGCAAATAGCATAGTTATAACTATTGGTGGGTGAGGGTAGCTATTAGGGAAGCTATTAAATTACGAAAATGTATAATGCATTCAATTATTTAGTCTAGCATGATGAAATGCTATTAAAAGCAAATGTAAACCCTCTTCAAAAAAAAAAAACACCTATAAAGATATGACAGCTTAGTCTTCATAAATATTTCAATCACAATGTATTATTATTTGAGGATAAGTGTTTATATATGAAAAGTGATGCCAATTTATAGTGTTTGTTAAAAACGGAATAATCCATTGTTTAAATGTTTGTCTCTAACATTTGCTTAGTAGTCAAAGGGAAGCATACAGTGTTCATTTGCAAATTTTACTTTTAAGCTTTGAACAATCACATAGTCGCCTCTAGTACTTAGAAGATTTATGTTCAGTAAAATACATTTCAAAGATAGTGTCCCAGCCACTCCAATAAAAGTCTCCCAAAATAAGTAGTATACAAATATGCAGATTTAATTTTATTTACTTTTATTTTGAAAACTTTGATTTCCAATGTAAAGAGCTCTATGGGTAAATGTTAATCAAATTTACAAATGCTTCTGGATAGAAAAATGATTCAGTGCTTATGTACTGATGAATTTGCAGTACATTCTCCTCAGACTCCTTCAAATGTAAAAAAGTATTTAAAGAGAATACTTTATCCATTGCTAAAGAGATTGATATTTCCATTTTATAGCAAGTTTTTACCTCTTTGCAAAGTTATTTTTATTTACTATTATGATCATCCATTTGGGATCAGAACAGGGACCAAATATATGAAGTTCTTAAATAACACGTAGTGTAGCAATGCTATTTTACCATGAGTAGTGATTTCCCATTGGAAGTCTTTTATTGGTGTGTCATGTAAACAGAGACCTGATAAGATTTTAACAATATTCTATGCAGCTTTAATAAAGTTTCTATTTAAGTAGAGAGGCCAATTGTTACTTTAAGCAATCATTGAAATTACGAATAATCTATTAACGTTGAGGAGGCCAGTGATAGACAGTATCACCTGGCATCATTTTCTTGAAAGTATATTAGAAAGTTATTGGTAACTGGATTAATAAAAGGAAAGTTCAGATGAAACTTTTTCTAAGTTTTTTTTAACTTTATAATCATATGCCCATGGCATTTTAATATTGATATTTGACTACCAGACCTCAAATTAAAAGAATATCACACAAGGGAAAGCAATTAACTCAATGGCTTGGTTTTGTTACCTTTTAATTATATCATGTCTAACTTCATAATAGATTGTGAAATAAATTCTAAGAAATTTTATTAGTAGGTTCCTAGTAAACTTTCTTTGGTGTTGAAATAAAATATTTAGCATAGTATTTTAAATACAATTTAGTATTTTATATCTCAGTTCTCAAAATGTATACCAAAAGCTATATTAAACAGATTCATCTTATCATTATTACTTCCACTCAATATATGAATTTTCAGAAGCATTTTACTTTCTATTCAAATGATATTGTTAGAAGAATTTCATGGAGATTTTGGCACATACTTGGAGTTTTCACTTTTCATGTTGTTCAACTCAACTATGAAGACCTAAGCTATTGCATTAATATTTAAAATTTCACTCAAATATTACTCAAGTTAAATCATTCATTTTAAATTTTGTTTCAAAGTTTCCCTTCATGACCTCAGGAGGGAAAGGAGACATTACCCATAGGACATGATCTGGAAAGAATAATGCCAGGAACAATGGATAAACTTTTATCCAAACAAATTAAATGTAATTGTGTCAGTGTTCTGCATATAGTTCCCTTTCTATATACATTCCTGCCTGCATAATCATATATACATTATATACTGAAACATATACAATGTGTGGCTTAAAAGAAATTTACATTTGATTATTCCTGTTTCATTAAATTAATTTGCAGTAATTTTATATAAGCATGAATAAGTTTCAAGGGTCCTTTTTTTCTCTTGCAGTTTACTGAAAGGTCATGTTTTCCACAAAAATACTGACTCTCTCAGCTCTATCCCTGTGCATTATTAATTCAGTAAAATCCATTATCTAACTAGTTTATAAATATTCCATCTGGAGAAATACAATTTATCATAGCAGTATGGGAATAATATTGTTAGACTTCTAGTTATTGTCAACTCTTGAATATCTTCAAAAAATAGGATTAACAACACTAATTTTAGCTTACGGATATATTACTCATTATACTAATGATACTCTTGCCTTTCATTCAATAAAAAAATGACTGGCCATTACTTTCAAATAAAAATTTTAATTTTATTTGTAAAAAAAACAAAGTCACTTATAGGTGATCCAATGATTTTCTTGATCCTTATATTTTAGAATTTTCACTTTCCCAGTTAAAAAAAAGACACAGAAAAAGACACGTCAAATTGATAATGGCAGTCACTAAGGAAAGAACAAAATTAAAGTGCTCTATTAGCAGTGAAAGTAGGTCACCAAATATGAAAGGCAGTTTTTAGATCTAATTAAAAAGTTCCTAATGTTTTGAGTATTTACTAGTCTTTTTTAGATAATGCACACAGTATACAACAGTGTTGGCTTGCCAATATATTTTTAGTGACAAAATAGATAAAGAAGCATTTTCACATCTTGCTCAGTATTGCTAAATTGCAAAACATTGCTAAATGTTATTGTCATAAGTTCAAAATGATTAAAAGGAAATCAAAGTTGCAAGTATTGCTTTAAAGCACTCATTATTTAGAGAACTTTGTCTTAAGAGTCAGTGATTGTATTCACAAATCATTAGGAATAGATCACAAAAGGTATACATGAAAAAAGCAATGTATCCATCAAATACACAATCTTATATAGGAAGCATTCATGTCCTCAATATTACATTTGCACTTTAATCCATTGAAAAAGAATGAACACCCCTTAGAAGGAAAATAAATAACCCAACATCAGGAAATGCCATTTGCTGCATATGGACATTCTTTCTTAATTTGTTTTTCAGTTATTTACTATACCTACCCAGAACTTTTCACTTTTCAGCAAATATGTTCCCTTATTTGTATATAAACCCTAAACAAAGAGAATCCAACCTAAGCTTATTGTAATTCCTGCAAATATTACTTATGTTAATGTGGCATATGCTGCTCATTAGAATCTTTACCATAGAGCAAACCATCGCCTGGCGGGATACACATCACTTCAATACAGCATTGCAATATAAACACCCACACACCACAATACACACACACACACACACACAAGCACACACACACCATCAGTTTCAACAAACTCTGATTTCCCTTTAGTCCATTCATAAATGCCACGATCCTAAGTAGGAACAACCTGTCATTACCTTTAAACATACTAAAGAATCTAGCGAGGAGGGTTTAATTTTCTTTTAAACTTCTCAGAGTACTACATGGTCATAATTAGAAATAAAATACTGCCATGGCTATTTGGCAATTAACATCGTGGGTTGTAAAACTGGAGGATCTTTCTTTCAGGATCTTTCTTTCTTTCTTTCTTTCTTTCTTTCTTTCTTTCCTTTCTATCTGCTTTAAATTGACAAACAAGGTAATTGTTTGAACTGGTATTAGAGTAAAAACACATTTTAGGTTTAGGCAATCCAAAATTCTCTCTTAAAGTCTTTTAGAAGACAGCAGAAAATAAAAGCACATCTTTAGTTTACTCTCAGAGGAAACTGCTTTATGCTGAGGCACCTTAAGGACCTGAAAAGGTTTCAGTGAGAACGTGCTTTGAAGAGCGTTAGCCCTTCGGGGCAGGGCTGTTTGCTGTACCTGGCTTACCTTCATTGGAAGGTTGGAGAATCAGTTCCCCGAAGCAGTAGAGAATGGAGCAGCTGAGAAGGAGGAGGATGGAGAGGTGACAATCCATGTTGCTGGTGCAGAGGGCAGTGAGAGGAGCATATCTCCATGAAGCATGCCACTGATGTGAGGGGGAGCGCTCTGATTGCTGGAGAAGTTACCATGCTCCGCTCGCAAGCTGATGTCAAGTTTGACACTGGAGATAAGGAGGAGTCTGGCTGCCTTTCCTCGAACCTCGCTCAGGGACTTCCCTGGGTCCTAGTGCCGTCGGAAGCGAGCGCTGTAGAGGAACGCACAGCACGCGGAGGAGCCTCGGAGATTCGCAGACTGCTCTGTGAGCAAGGGGTGGGGCTGCGGGGGGAAGGGTGCGCCGCCAATAGGCAGGAAATCCAGAAGTTGTGATGGGGCAGTGGTAGAGAGCGGTGGAAGGTAGGGAAAAACACCCGCTCTTTATTTCCAGTGAAAAGCAACTATTTTATTGTTTGCTATACATGCTCTGTAGGTTAATTCCCTGAAGAAAGCAGAAAGCCTGATAGGAGTGTCATATGGCAGTGTGAGTAGAAGAGAAAGTGAAATGCCAGAAGATGTTTGTATTATAAGAACAGGAGACTTTCACTTAAAAAGAAAAAAAAAATCAAAGATGATTGTATAATTCAAAGGAAAATTAGGATTATTCCTTCACTACATTCAATATAATCATAACTCTTATGAGTCCTTTGTGGTGCAGAAGGACAGTACCACACACCCCAGATCAGGAAGTCTTTTCAGTTCTGTACCAAGTGGTATCAGGGCTTTCAAATAGATTTGGCACAGGGATTTCGATGTACATTGGATATACTTTAATTTTCCAAACTGGGGAGTAACCTTCACCATGAACAAACCTAGAAGTGAACAAACCTAGCCCCAAGAATAGCTGCTGGCCAGCATTTATTTTTTTCTGTGCTGTGGGTATAATACAAATCAAACCTGAAGTTCTTGACAGCACATTGCTACCCCTCTCCCTCACCATCCCTGTTAAGATCTCTGGGTTCTATGAGATAAACATGGCATAATTCACAGCTCCACTTTCGGCTTTTCAGCCACTTCCAATCTGATAATAGTTGGACACTGTTCTTTAACATTCCAAATCCAATGGCTAAATAAAGTGTCCTGGCACTTTCTCACTTTACACCATAGCTAGAAATGATTTCTCTTATTTCCAGTTCCCTTGTTGGATAATACAATTGCAATCTATCTCAGCTGAATAATTTTGTGATTTATATTTTGAGAACTATCCTCACTTATCTTTAAAACATCCCCCAGAAAATGATTACTCAAATATCTTCCTTCTCATCTATCTTTTCCTATTCTGAACAGAAAACAAGACTTACATTCCTTGCACAACTCCAGAAAGTAAAGATAGGTTGACAACTTTAAGATCAGTGATCAATTTTAGAGCACTAAGTTGTAGAATCTACATAAGGGTTTGAAAAGGCCTTGCTAATAACATATTCATTTCACAAACACGACGTTTTTAATGAGAGAACACAATTTTCACATGAATTGAAATTAAGAGCTTCTGAGAATAGCTTGTTGGCTGGGGTGGGGGGGTTGGGAGGTGGGTTGAGGAAGTGAGAGGAAGAGTGGCCCTGCTCACTTTCTATGTATGCCTTGTTACTTTGTATCTCTAACTTCTTCCCACATTATGTCACCGGAGGCTGTATAACCCTCTTCAAGTGCCAAGTCTGTCAGAATTGAAAATAATGACAGATACTGAACAGAGGACTCAGATAATGGTGACTCTGGGATTTTTTTAAAGTTGCAACACAATTTTAGTCTTTCCATAAGGCACAGTTCCATTGTTCTAGGATTAGATTAGATTTTTCTGAAACTTGAAAGAAAATAAAGTCTTATTTGGAATGGCAATTTATATACATTTTGGAAAAATATGCCAATGTGCTGATATCCACATACATTGGCTTCCCCTCACACTATTCTCTCTTCACAATTAACTGCTGTCACTGGGGAAAGAGGCATTCATGTTTGAAGGAAACTACAATAGTGTGAAAATGGGTAAGAAGCAATTCTTGGCCTGGGAATATAATATAAACAATACAAGATCTCTCAATTATAGACTCTCTAAATCAAGAGACATCAAACAATAAGTAAAGAATTTCCACAATCTGAAATACTTATTAAAAATGCATATCTCTCTGCCCACACAGATTTACTGAATTAAACCTCTGAGGCTGGGACCCAGGAACCTGCAATGTGACAAGCTCCTCAGGAGATCCTTGTGGTGATCCTAACATTTGAGAACCACTGCTGAGTGTGAAGAGGGAAAATCAGAAACAGAATGACGAGATCTGAAGCAATTTTTTTTTTTCTGAAGCAATTTTAAAAGTAAAACTAAAGTACTATGAGCTGAACTACAATCTAGTAAAAAGAAAGAAAACACAAGATGAAATTAAAATACATGCGTGAGGTGAAACAAACCCAAAGAAAATCTGGATTTGGGCTTTGAGGAAGAGGGCGATGACCAACCTCTGCAATGTTTAGTTCACCTAATATTTCAGTTTAACAGGATATATTTCAGTTTAACATGTACCTTATCATGTGCTAGACACTGAGGGTAAAATCATGAAGAAGACCTTGTCTCTGTCCTTTAAAACAATTTAGAATCACATTATGGCAAGTGTTAGATAGAGGTAGAATTTTTTATAGTGTGGGATGGGGGTTGGGGACAATTCAAGTTAGGGGTTAAAGGATATTCCTCTAAAGGAATAGATGGCGATTGGCATAGAAAAGATTTTATTTTGAAGAGAAGAGTTCTGAGAAGAGAGACTATATTTGAAAAGCATGCTTTCTGGAATAAATAACAAATGCCTCTATTACTGGAGCATAGATTTTTGAGGTGAGGTGAGAGGGTATGAAAAAGAGGAGGCAGGAGGGATAGGAAAGAGAAAGGTGAAAAAGAATTTTGTGAAGCCTTCTAAGGAGCTTGGGCTTGAAAGTGATATGGGACGGAAGAGAGACCTGCTCAATTTGCATTTTAGAAAAAGATCATTTTGCTGGGCAATTGGGTGGTTCAGTTGGTTAAGCAGTTAAACTTCTGACTCTTGATTTCAGTTCAGGTCATGATCTCAGGACCCTGAGATCAAGCCCCACATCAGCCTATTCTCTCAGTGGGGAGTCAGCTTGTGATTCACTCTCTCCCTTTCCCTTTGCCTGGCCCCCCACCCCGTGCTCATCCTCACTCTTACTTTGTCTCTCTAAAATAAATAAATCTTAATAAAATAAAATAAAAATTAAAAGATCATATTGGCATATTTAAGTGGGGGAGAGTAAAGAGGAAGCAAAAACACCAGTTAGGAGCCAAGAGACCAAATGGAATCCCTTTGCAACAGAATAGCCAGTATCATGTGGTGATAGAAGTGAGGCTCTAGAATCAGACTAAACTGGTGACTGCCCTTACTCTATTACTCTTAGTAAAATTCTAATAATAATAGATCCTCCCTAATAGGGATGTTGTAGGATTAGATAAGATTTAGAATGGTACAGATAAAGTCTAAGCCTAGTGCTTGACACATTAAAAACATCTCATACTTTTTTTTTTTATCTTGATCTAGAAGAGAGATCTAGAAGGTATGATGTTGAACACTTCATAATAGATTGATTACAAGAAATGAGGTGGATGGAAGTTTCTAGGAGGCCTTTCAATCTCTGGCTTGAGGGAGGGGGTAGTCAGGAATGTGAAAGCAAAGATGGGCATGAGGTAAAACAATTTCTATTTTAGGTGTATCTACATAAAGTGGCCCAAGGAAAAGTCAAGGATAGATGAACTACTAGGAGACAAAGACCTTCACTGGAGTTCTTCTTTTGGGAATAATTTCCTTTGCAAATAATTACTATTAAAAAAAATAGGTTCATCCACAAAAACCAAGTGTTGGCAGAAAGATGAGTTGGCCATGGATGAAAGAAACCCTAGCATATACCAATACTTAAAGGACAGGAAGAAATAGAGAATAGAGAGCTAGAAGAGATGAACATATCACTAAAACTTTTTAAGGGTTTCACAAAGAATTCATGGCCAGTAGTGCATGCAAGAAAAATATTCAATAAAATATCGACTGAATAGTGACAGCTGGATTTGACAGCCAAAGATTTTGATGACTTGGGTGGTTGCAGTTCTGGAGGAGTAATTGGGCAGCACGTAAACATTGAGCTGAGGGAGTAAATAGAGAGTGAGGAAGTAGAAAGATAAATGTACGATTTTTTCAAGAAGGTGAACTTAAAGGAGAAGGCATGCCTAGGAAAGGAAAAAGCAAGAGGTGATGAGAGTACTAAAAAATGGAAGAGGGTGGCAAGATTCTTCTCTCATGTGCTTGGCTGACCAGTGATACAAATAATTGACAAGAACTTTGGTGGATCAAATTTGGGGTATGGAGAAAAGGTGGGGAAATAATGGCTTCTGTGTAGGACATGGCAAGATGCAAGTGTAGTTAATCAAGCCAATAGTTAGAAGATAAGCCCAGAAGGGAAGGCAGGTTAGACACTGCAAGTTAAACAATCATTAGTGAATTGGTAATAGCTTAACCCATTGGAATAGATGAAATTGTCCAGCAGGATCACAAACAGTCATAAACGTAAACAGTGGGGGAGAATCAATTCTCTTAAATAAAATATTCAAAAAGCAGACAGAGGATGTATAATTACCAGAATCAATTGAGTAGGAGTAAATGTTATAAAATAAAGTTAAGAGAGAATGAGTTTGGAGATGGTAAGACAGATGAAAATTTCAGAAAGGGAGAGAATCAACAACAACAACAACATCAACAAAAAAGATTTTTTCAGTTAATGGAAAGACCAAAGGACTGGGAATCCCCACCTAGAAAATCATACTTAGAGCTGCAAAATTCTTTAGAGCATATCATTTTACAATTAGAGAAAGACTAAAACATTAGTGACTTCATTCTGTTCACACGGTCAAAGACAACAATAGAGAAAGTATCTGAAAGCTCTTGCCAGTATGCAAAGAAAACATTAGAAAAAATACTTATGAGGAACTTTATAGGAAATCTTCCATTACCT